TAGGCTCCGTGTATTAGAAGAGGGCCGTATTGAGGGAAATGGTGTAATATATATATATATTTTTTGACGGTAAATTCCAGGCCTATAGCAACAATTAAACTCAATAGCTACGTCTCTGAAGTGTACACGTTCTATCTTGTTAGCATTTTTTTTCTTTCCTACTGATATCTTGGTCTCTCGTTCCATAAAACTTGATTATCTTCAGTCACTCGTTTGTAACAAACAATACACGATAAGACTTGTATAATTATCAAACAACCGACCCCCCCCAAAAAAAAAAAAAAAAAAAAATAGCCATACAAAAATCTCAAAACAAAAACAAAAGAACAGGAACTTCCGCAAACAGAAAGAAGAACAGAAAGAAAACACGAAAGGCCTCTTCACTTTACGGATGTCCTAAAGAAGGCTTTTGGTATATTTGTGCATTTTCAGTTCCGGTATTCGTAAATTGCGGTAGTATACCCTAACCATTTTCTGTTACATTTAAGTGAATAAACGAATTATTTTCCTGCTTCCTTGTTTACTCCCTTGTGTCAGAAAAGGAGAATTTACGGCCATTTTGAATTTATGACAAGGTTCATATACACTAGCGTGAAAAAGTAAAACTGTTCTTAAAAAGATAGCTATTTTGATTGACATAAATTAAATGGCGTTCATACCAATAACTCCAATAACTCATCGAGTGTACGCCAACGTTCCCGAGAAGAGTAATTTTTCATTAAGTATGAAGCTAAGTTATAGCCAAGAAGATTATTGATGGCAGCACACACTTTTTGATAAGAAACGTGATTTTTTTTCCCCCCAGCCTCGTGATTCTTAAAAATTTGGGATTTTGAGTCTCAGATGTTTGTTAAAAAAACGGCCGCAAGGAGTGTAGGTGGAGGGGGGGGGGGGCGTGCGTTGTAAAGGAATAAAACAAATGAATGTGTACATGTGCATTGCGTTCAACTTAAAAACTTGAAAAAGCAGTAAAGATAAAAAAGCATGCGCCAAGATTTTTCCATTTAAATTACGCCAATACGCCAAGGAATATAATTTAGGAGAGAGAAAAAGTAAAAGAAAGAGAAACAGAGACAAACAGAGATCACACACACACACACACACACAGGATCTCACCAGGAAAATCTACCTAATATTTCTTTCCTCCTCTTCCTCCTCCCTCCTCCTCCCTTCCCCCCTCTCCCACCCCTTCCTCCTCCTATTTCTCCTCCCTTTTTCCTCCACTGCGTCATTCTCGTATTTCTCCTCCCTTTTTCCTCCATCAGCCAACAAACGCAGAGACATGTAAAGAGAAGAATAGAAAGGGTGTATTGTCGAACTGGTCCCTGGAAGTGTCATGGAGAAATTCAAGCGCCTCTGCTCTTCCTCGGCTGTTTTAAGGTAGGAATAAAAGTGAGAAAGAGGAGGAGGGCGAAAGCGGAGGAGGGAGATAGGGAAAGAGTGAGAAAGCGAAGGAGGGAGATAGGGAAAGAGTGAGAAAGCGAAGGAGGGAGATAGGGAAAGAGTGAGAAAGCGAAGGAGGGAGATAGGGAAAGAGTGAGAAAGCGAAGGAGGGAGATAGGGAAAGAGTGAGAAAGCGAAGGAGGGAGATAGGGAAGGAGGGAGATAGGGAAAGAGTGAGAAAGCGAAGGAGGGAGATAAGGAAAGAGTGAGAAAGCGAAGGAGGGAGATAAGGAAAGAGTGAGAAAGCGAAGGAGGGAGATAGGGAAAGAGTGAGAAAGCGAAGGAGGGAGATAGGGAAAGAGTGAGAAAGCGAAGGAGGGAGATAGGGAAAGAGTGAGAAAGCGAAGGAGGGAGATAGGGAAAGAGTGAGAAAGCAAAGGAGGGAGATAGGGAAAGAGTGAGAAAGCGAAGGAGGGAGATAGGGAAAGAGTGAGAAAGCGAAGGAGGGAGATAGGGAAAGAGTGAGAAAGCAAAGGAGGGAGATAGGGAAAGAGTGAGAAAGCGAAGGAGGGAGATAGGGAAAGAGTGAGAAAGCAAAGGAGGGAGATAGGGAAAGAGTGAGAAAGCAAAGGAGGGAGATAGGGAAAGAGTGAGAAAGCGAAGGAGGGAGATAGGGAAAGAGTGAGAAAGCGAAGGAGGGAGATAGGGAAAGAGTGAGAAAGCAAAGGAGGGAGATAGGGAAAGAGTGAGAAAGCGAAGGAGGGAGATAGGGAAAGAGTGAGAAAGCGAAGGAGGGAGATAGGGAAAGAGTGAGAAAGCGAAGGAGGGAGATAGGGAAAGAGTGAGAAAGCGAAGGAGGGAGATAGGGAAAGAGTGAGAAAGCGAAGGAGGGAGATAGGGAAAGAGTGAAAAAGCGAAGGAGGGAGATAGGGAAAGAGTGAGAAAGCGAAGGAGGGAGATAGGGAAAGAGTGAGAAAGCAAAGAAGGGAGATAGGGAAAGAGTGAGAAAGCGAAGGAGGGAGATAGGGAAAGAGTGAGAAGGCAAAGGAGATAGCGAAGGGAAGGAGAGAGAAAGTGAAGAACGTGAAAAAAGTGAGAAAAAGGAGGAGGGAGATAG